GGATAGAGTAGGGTACAATAGGATATAGTATGGTATAGCACGGGGAACAAAATACCTTGAAGATTTCCAGATTCGTCCCGCGCAGCGTGCGCTCGAGGAATTTGCGAACCGTCGCCATCGTCACACCTGCTACCAAAGGTTCGTAGGCATGCAGTTTTTTTTTTTTGGTTTTTATTTCTCGTTCTTCTCCCGGAACCGGGGTGTTAGTGTGTGTGTGCGGGAGTCAATGAATGCACCTGGCTGAGGAAATCGTGGCGGCGGCGGAGGACGGAGAAGGACGAGGAGGCGAGGATGGGATGAGGCTTGAGCTGCGACGTTGTCGATTCAGACGGAGACGGAGATGGAGCGAAGGAGAGGGAGGGAGGTAGATAGGATGAGAGTAGTAATCAGTTCGTAGCTGATTGACCGATTGAGTGAGAGTGTGGCAGCTCAAGGTGGAGGAGGGCGAGTGGCATGACCATGCTCAATAACTGTCCCCAGTTTTTGGCCGAAGCTTTCAATTCGCGCAGCCTCGTGGTCGTCCGCATGTGAAGTGGAGTGCGAGCCTTGCGCTTGGTGATTGGGACGCTTGCTTGATGACAGCCTTATCCGTACGAGGTACAGTTCAAAGTCCCTTCTATTGTGAAGGGAGACTGCCTTCTAAATAGCCTGATGGATATGCTCCACTGTATACAAGTAGTCTAAATGTAGCTATCATACAGTCTGCTCTCTCTCTTTCTCTCCATCCTCCCTCTTCTTCGCCCTCCATTTCATTCCAACCCTCATCGTCACCATGAGGAGCGGCAGCGTAGCCAACTCGACCAGCCCAACAAGCGTGTGAGTCCACCCGTTCCCAATCGCCTCAATCATCGGATTAGCAACAGCGCTCGCCCCTGCACCCAAAAGGCACCGGACAAGATTTGATGCTGCGCTGGCCGTCGCTGCTCGTTTCCGGTGCAAGTCAATGATCAACACGCTGATCGTGTTGAACCCGACCATCGTGGTGTACCCTATGGCGCCGAGCATGATAATCGGTCCTGCAATGTGGACTCGCTTCTCCAAAAGCCATCCGTAGACGACGATGGAGACCGCCCCAAAGGCAAAAAAGGGCATTCCGATCTCAAGTCTGGCCTGCTCGATCGGCATCTTGATCATGTCGCCCTGTTTCTTGCGGTCAACCTCCAATCCCGCCTTGAGCGCGTGTCGCTTGAAATTTCTATCGAGGAGCCTCGTGTTGGTTATCGTCGCCAAGATCGTGCCCACCACCTGCGGGATGAAGAGCAGTCCTTGCAGAGTGCTGCTCAGCCCGTAGATGATGTGAAACTGGACGGTGAGACTGGTTGAGACGATATAGAAACCGGCATAGATAATACCCATGTACAAGAGCAAGATCGCGGTCTCCGGATCACCGACAATAGTGAGAGAGCCAAAGACATCCCATTTCCGTCGTCGCGAACTGGGCTTCTCCTTCTCAGGTTTGTCTTCGGGAGGAGTGCCTTTCTGGGATCCGCTTTCTCCCTCCGATTTCTTCTGCTGTTTCGACAAATTCGTCAGACATCTGTTCCACTTCGGCGGTTCAATCGAGCCATCTCCAACCACCGATCTGCAGGTCTCTGGAAAGAAGAGCGCCAGTGGCACGAAATACACCCCACCGAGGATCAGCAAGAACCAGAAGACTGAATGCCATCCCAGGTGCTGAGCCAGTACACCGCCGAGAATGGGCGCCAGACTCGGTGCTAATATGCTAGCCAGGCTGGTAATAGCAATATATTTGCCTCGCTCTGCGCTGGTGACAATGTCTGCCATGGTGCCCTGCATCAGAGTCACGAGGCCAGAACTCCCAGCACTTTGAACACATCTCAGAACCAGGAGACCCGCGTAGGATTTGTTAAGGGCCAGGCCGAGGTTCGCAAAGAGGTAAATGGTGAATCCGATCATGTATGCTGGTCGGCGACCATAGTCGTCCGCTATGGCTGAAGTGAAGGATGGCGAGATGCCTTGGAAGATCATGTACGTGGTAATGGTCAAATTGACATCGGAGACGCTCACACCCAGGGCGTGGCTGATGGTATCGATGGCAGGAAAGTAGATGAAAGTGCTGAACGGGCTGAAGCTTCCTCCGAGGGTGGCCACCAGGACAATGATGGCCTTTTGTCGACTTGTGAACGATGAATACGGTCTGTCATTTGTTGGGATCCGTTCGACGCTTGTGGTAACTTCAGTCTGAGACTCGAGTTGTTTGTTTGGCACCACAACGTCTATTTGAACGGCATCACTGTCAATGTGTTGGACTTCCTGTGCTGTCGCGTGCACGGATGTCTCGCTCTTGCGCGCATGTCCGCCAGACTCGTCATGGGAAGTCATCCTGTCGAAGAGTTTCTCTTCGAGCTTGTCTCCCCCTTTGCCTCAGGACAATGTTCAGTATACATGCCGCAATCACCTGACAAAAGCTAGGGAGATCTTGTCAGAGGCGTCTCTGTGTGAGACCAACATGTTATCATATAGGCTCACCAGGAAAAAAAGCGGTCACGGATCAGTCTTTGCTAGAATTAGTCTTCATTCGCAATGACGATCGTCATTTGTTATTGGCTGTAACCAGATGGTGGAGTGCTTCTCATGACCGGTAACGGCCCGATATCCGGTCACTCGGGCCTAACATGAATGGCCGAACCATGTTGTAAGCATCTCAGAGTTGACAGCAGGTAGTCTTCGATCATGGTCAAAGTATCGAGTCTCGTGTCGGATGGGCGGTTCATGCAGTCTAAACATGGGTGCATCAATTGAGAAAGATACCGGCGTCAAAGCAGGCCCGCTTCTTCGTCATTATTATTTCGGCGTGAACCTCGCCACGATCCAGTTCAAATCATTCTCATGCGGACGCGGCCATTTTGCGTAGTAGTACCACTTCTGCTCGTCCCTGTCCCACTTACGGTGTGGCACAAATGCCCCAACGGTGTAATAATTATCGCGCATATAAAGCGGTTGGTAGCTGGGTGGTCCTTTGCGTTCGAGAAACTCATCAGTGCCCGCGGCAGCTTCTGCATCAACGAGCTGATACAGGCGAGGCTCAGATCTTCGCGTCTTGTCTCTTTTCATTTCCCATTTGCCAAAACGGATTATCGTGCGGGTAGTTGTGTCGAGGTGGATTTGCAGGATCCGTGCATAGGTGAGCGGGCTTCTCGTCGCCTTCGTAACAATTGCAGCATGTCGATCCAGAAGTTTCACATTCCAATCTGGATTGCGTCCTGGCGGGATTATTGGTAAAGGTTCGCGATTTTCCAAGTTCTTCTGCCAATGAGCAAGGTCGAGGACAATGTTGAGATTGTTCCAGGAGAGGACGCAACTCATACACGTGCACACACTCGAGGGATCGATCTGTTTGATGTGTTGATATTGAATCTTGTGGATTCGACCCCGGCCCTGCCGTTGCTCATTCAAAAGCGCTGGTCGAGCTACAGGAGGAACTTGATCGAGTGACACAGGTGGCGGAAAGCACTGCCTAAGGACCCAATAGTGACGGTTCATGATGTCATCAGCAATTGCTCGTTCGTTATCTGAAATAAACATGCGCATGGACTGGTTGAGGCGAAGCAAATTGAAAATATCAGAAGGTTGCAGGAAGCTCAGTATCATCGACAGTAACTCCTGGGGGAGATCTAGGAACGACTGAACCTCGGACCGCACTTTCCGGGCTTGCTTCTTTTGCTGTCGTCTTTGAAGTCGGGCTGTCTTCTTGGAATGTAGTGCCAGGGCAGCCGTGGTGTCGATCAGAGGGTCGTTCTCGGTACTGGCTTTCTGTCGCCTGTATGCTACGTTGTTCACATAGTGTATGGGCACCTCATCGGACTGAGGGTCTGTCTTGGCTTCAGAGGTCGTAGTTTGATTGGATATACTTTCTGTACTCGATGAGATCGATGCGCTATCCACGGCGTCAAAGATTTTAGGCACTTGTGATGCAGCATGGTCGGTGGTTGAAGGTCGCTGCTTAACGAAATGTAAATGGTGAGGCATCAATGCTGCTCTGCCCCGGGAATGTGCCAGTCCAGTACTGGATACCTGCAAGAGTTGAGTAACGCTACGAGGAAGTGGACAGCGTGCGCACAGAAACGTCGAGTCTGATTGGCAAGAAGAAACCTGGAGACGAGATGGACGCGAGGCTGAGGCAGAAGGCGAGGCTGCGAAATGCCAAGAATGACGTCATTTCTCAGGTACAAATGGTGCAAACATGGGGGTTACTCCCAGCTCACTTACCACGTACCACGTACCAATTGGCCTTGTCTACCAGGTACTTTGTTAACTTGATCGATCTCTTGTCCTGCCCCATCCTCCTCTTCTCCTCCACCTCCATCTTCAGCTGTTCGCCCTGGAGAACCTGGAAATGACCGTCCCCCTCCAACGTCCCCATTGATACCAAGAGTCCTGAGCGATGCCGGCATCAGCACCCAGACACGCATCGGTGACCAGGGGCTGGCTCTAGACCCCAGAGAAATACAGGCCTCTGCTTTCTTCATTCGTCGTGAAGAATTGGTTGATTGTGGATATCTGCACATCACCATGGGAGAACTCAGACGGAGACAAAGCAGCCCTATTGCGTCGAAAGAGTGGAACATATTGTCCAGGACACACGCCGAAGCTACATGTCTCATTTTGTAAGAAGGGAGCAACGCCAAGTGTATCTGAGAATCGTACTCAAACCTGACCTGGGTGCGGCATTGTTTTGAATCTACTAAAGATGAAGTGAAATTGAAATCCCTCAGCACTAACCATTTCTCCTCTTCTCACAAGCTCTCTTCCTCGAGACCTTTCTCCGCCCTCTTCTCACTCTCTATCTTACTTTCTCCTTTCTTCTAAAGAGCTCTATCATCAAAATCACCTCACTAGATACAAGTTTAGCTGGCAGGCTGAGCGCTTCGTCATCCAATCTCTAACACTGCGAGGTAAACACGCTCGATGATGCCCTGATGATGATTCAACTGACAGATTCTACCAGAACAAAAAGGTCTACTCCAGTGTCTCCCACAATGGAGTTGAGACCGCTTCCTCTCGAGGCTACCTGTATCATGTGTCCACGCCGCGGAACCAAAGTGTGCTCCAGCTGCAAAGACGCCCGCTATTGCTCCAAGAGTACGAAAAGTAGTGCTGAGTTGACGAGCTTAATGCTAATTCTCCTGGTAGACTGCCAAAAGCTTGACTGGAAGAATCATAAAATCATCTGCCCATCCTTCCAGGAACCCAAACCTCAAGTGACAGAAGCGAACGGGCGAATAGACGGTATTTTCTACGACTTTCTCCCTGAAGTTGGCTTGGTAGATTTTAGGCGGGCACTCGTCTTCCCTGGCGACAAGCAACCACCCAAATTTGTCTGGGTCAAGACCTGGATCGTGCATGGAGGCTCTGAGACATTTGATTCGAAGCCATTCTTTGACCATGCTGGGGAGACTGATTGTATTTACTTGGCACACAACAGCATCCAAGCGCGGGATGCATGTCGTGATGAAAAGGATCTTCTCAGATTCTTCTTCAAGGACGATACGTCCAAAGAACCACCGAACCTGGCCGTGCAAGCTTTCACCCGGTCAGGAGCCTGCTCAAAATACCTCAAAGGTCCAATAATTCTCATGTGTGGCACTGTTGGCGCTCGTGGGCACGACCACTTTCGAGATGTCGATATGCGCGATTCACGAAGTGCCGCAGACTTCTTCAGCTCGGCATACCGTTCGGGATACGGAGACTCGTGTCTTCTGGAGAAACGCTTTGTGACGACGGCGATCGCATGCCCCGAAGACATCACGAGCTATCAGCTTGAAGGAAAGTACCACCAGCAGGTCTTCGATGGCTGCGATTCCGTCTTCCAAGCAGAGGGTAGTGGCATTGCCAACCTTTTGGGAATTCCGATTCTGATCCGGTCCCACATTCCACCGAAACCAAAACGCAATCAGTACGGCGCTTGGATTCCCCAGGACGAAGAGAATGAACCCACAGACGTTGGTCCTGACAGCGTCGATGCACTGTTTCTCCTGCGAGATATTACCTCGACAACCACTGGCCGTCAGGAAACAACAGCTTCGATGCACAGATTTCGAACGAATGATAGAGACTATGCGGGCACGAATGGGTTTGGGTCATCCCCCAAGGCCTCACGGAGGTCGGGCTCCTTTTCTCTCGTCCGCGCTGACGGATTGCCACTTCTTTCTCTCCACGTTGAAGCACTTGTCGGTTACATTCGTGACGAAGTCGAGCCGCGCTTGTCACATGCGTTGGCAGGGACTGCTTCTGGTGGTGTCGTTGCTAGTCGAGAAGCTGTACTCAATTCGATCACCCAGGCCGACTTCTCCAGATACTTCGATGCTTTCAAGGCCGCAAAGACACTTCATGATCACATTGTGGCATTCATTCCTTCTCCATACGCCATGTCAAAGGAATTTCTTGCAGACATGGAGCGTCAGGCGGACATTATATGGGAGGACCAGAAGGCGGCCGGTTTTAAACAGGAGAGTGAGCATGAACCTGTTCAGCAGCCTGGAGTGATTTACCTCTGACCATGAGGGCCTTGTTTCACGGAAGATCAGTATGGGGTAGGTTCATGTCTCACGCGAGCTGGCTGTTCTATGGTGATTGATCATTGGGCTCACCGTCTCGGCTCGCGAAACGCAATAAACTTTTTCATGTTCTGCTGGGGTGTACGTTCGGGGTTGCTGTGGAACACAAAGGGATGGAACTCAGGTGGTGAGGGCGAGAGGCACGATATTGCTGCATCGCAACTTTCGGACATGTCCAAGAATGCACAGAATGTGGAGGCTGATTGTGGAAAAGGACCAGCGAGGAAAGACGTGGGATGCACATGTCACCATCCCTTTTGAGGGCCCTTACCTCGAAGAGCTGGTTTCAGAATATGAGCGGGCGGGCATTGCGACAAATGGCTTGAAGGAGACACGACACCAACACCACTCGAAACACCCTTGGAGTGGAAGTCTGTTGATGAGAGAGCTAGCAATCAGTTCTGACCAGTCGGTACCTGGTGTCCGTCGGTGGCTGTGATGCGCAGAGTCATATTCGGGAAAGACAGTGAGCGGAATGAACCCTGTTGACATGGCATTGTCTTATTCTCTCCACGTGAAACGCTTCGTTCATTCGTCCACTTGAAGTATTATACATGAAACCCCGCTCCATCCGGACGTGCTCAAACCTTTTCGAAAAAGAGACCCAACTCGCTCGCTACTTAGCAACCCAATAACCCAATCTGGTGATACAGACAACTACTCCTCTCCCCGATTTAGCTTTAGAAGTGCAACTTCGCCTTCACCCCCTCAAACGCCATGCCGGGATGCCAGCTCTCCCTCCTCGAGTCGTTGTTGGCGGTGGAAGCGACAGAACTCCTTCTACGCTCGCTCTCCTCGACGCCAGCCTCGTTTCCCGCCTCCGGCCTGGCTTTGTGGAACAGTTGTCCGCGGAGCGGGACGTCGAAGATGCGGCCCGGCTGTCTGGGGTGGTCGGTGGGGAGGAGGAAGTTGGGGACGTATTTCTTCAGGGTGGACATTTTTGTCTCTCTGTCTCTTTCTCCTTCTATTTCTCCTTCTCTTTCTCCTTCTCTTTCTCCTTCTCTTTCTCCTTCTCTTTCTC